TTGTTGAACTTCTGTTTTAAATTCAGGGATAAGGAAGGCTTGATCGAGATCTTCGACATATGCCTTCAATCGAAACGATTCGAGCAAGGGTTGGTAAGAAGGTACTTCAGAAGCTGGTTCAACAGTGGGCAATTTTTCTTTTTCTGACCCAGAAGGGCCACTAGTCCAGTTGTCCAAGACCTCGAAGATACTATTGATATCTTCATCCTCGTCGTTGAAGAAACTCATCAAATCCAAATCTGGAGAAGGAATGGAAGAGAAGCCCTGGACAGAAGAAGTAGCACCTCCTTGGGTCGAAGGAGAAGTGATAAAAGGTCTTGGAGACTCAGTAGAACCTACACAAGGAGAAATACATAAGAGATCTTCATTAACAAGTTATCATATCAAAAAGTAAAGTCGAAAGAAATATACCCTTGTGTGGACTCAAGGGAGGTCGTAACTCAAAAGAGGGTTCACCTTGAGCAGAGTCTGGTTGCGTCTCCACATGGGTCAAAGGTTCTGGTTGGAAAACCCTATCATCTTCAGCCTGAAGAGGAACCTCTATCGAAGCCATAACTGAGGCCAATGTTGCAACATCCACTGGGGAGGTAGGCAACTGATGAAATGAAAGGGGAAGTTAAAAGATTAAGTTAAAACACCAGAAAATTTGAAGTCGAAAGGTATGAGAACAGTACTAAGTGTTACACCGCTCAATAACTTTATATTAAATGTGAATTTTGAAAATCCGATCGTTAGATTGAAAGTTCATATATCTTAGATCATATATATCAAATTTTATATTAATATAAGATGATTTGATACTTCATTCTCAACTCATAACACAAAATTGACGTAATATATACATTTCAAAATATACTAAAATATGAACACTTTGATTACCTTCAAGTTGTTGTTCGATTTTAACAAAATTTGATATATATGATCTAAGAGATATGAACTTTCAATCTAACGGTTGAATTTTCAAAATTCACATTTAATATAAAGTTATTAAGCGGTGTAATACTTAGTAAAAGTTACACCAGTGTCATTTGAACCCTGCTATATAATTATTATTGAAAAAATAAGGAATTAGAGGTGACAAAACAATTCATTTATCCATTATTTATTCAATCCATCCACAAGTAAATTTATTCAAACCATCAATTACATAAATATAATAAGAACAAGCTTTAATTTTGATCTCTAGCTAAAAAAATTATTTGTTTCCCATCCCTCTAAATTTTTGAATTATTATTTTAGACCCTATTACTATGTGATTCTTGTTATTAATTATTTATGTACTTATCATAAGATTAAGTGATCATTTTATATCACACTCACAACTTTCTTAATATCATATTAGAATGTGACACTTCTAAAATTATTTTTTACAGGTCTTTAAAGCAAATGTTATTTTTCTACCTCAAAATGAAAATTATGGATAAAAACTAACTACTTTAGATTTTAAACATGAAAATTAAAGAAAAATATTTTATAGGGACTTAAATCAAAATTTGTTCATTTTTCAAGAACTAAAAATAATAATTCTAAATTTAATAAGGAAGAAAAATAGATTTTTTTACGGGGACTAAAATAAAAAATTAATTTTACATGAACTAAAAATATATTTAAAATCTACTATAATGATGAATTAGATTTAATCCATCGGTTTATTTTCATGGACGTTTAGTGATCGATATACTATTTTTTAAAAATCTATTGAATTGCAAGAAGGAAAATGTATTGGATTGATTATAAGTTTTTTTAAAAAACTTTTATAATCAAGATTCTTTATTAAGATTTTAATAAATTTGTATTATAAAAAATTTATAAAATTTAAAATGACTTTATGGATTTATAAAATTTAAAAGGACTCCATACACTTTAATTATGCATCCTAATATAAATAGTTATCTTAGTGAATTTTATTGAATTTATAAAATAAAATTATTGATGTACCAATTTTAACCTTCTTACTTATCATTAAATTTTTATAAGAGATGAAAATTTATTTCTCGAATTTTTTATGCATCAATATCAATAAGTAATTAAAAAAGTTTAATACGTGAGAGAGAGAGGAATCGAACTTCTCTAAAGTGAAAGAATTACACTTTAAATAATAAAATGTAATAATAACGATTAATTAAAAGTCATATATTAATATTATAATTAATTTTAGATTTTATTTCATAGGAATTGGATTTATCACAAATCTTAATTTTAATTTTATGATCAATAATTATGAGTTTACTTTAAAAGAATCAAATTCGAGAGAAAGATCATTTATTTATTAAATTCTTTTCTTATTATTCAACAACAAAAATCACATATTCTCATAATCTTTAATTAAAATTTAAAAAAATAAATTAATATTTTGAAGAAATTGTCAAATTTTTTATATAAAAAAAAACCACCATCTCCTTTTAAATTCCATCTTCTGATAAAGATTGGAGGTATTATAAAATTTGAATTTTGATAAAAAAAAAAACCCAAAAGTAACACAATTTTTAATAACTAATTTTTTAATTTTTTTCATTCCAAAATCATATAAAATCTCACTGTTGGAGGATAAACAACCACCAAAGTTGAATTTGTGGACAATATAATCACAAAACACTATTAAATTTAAGATATACGGATTATGTGGATGAAATAGGGATAAGAGATTGAGAAAGAAGATAAAGAGGAGAGAAAAAAACATTTTTTAAAAAATCATTTTTTATGAATGAATATGACATTCATAAAAAAAAATTGAAAATGAAAAAATTAATTTTTTTTCCTCAAATAGATATGATAGATTAAATTTTTAAATAATTTTTTAAATAAGTTCCAATAAATTAATATACGACAATATATTATTATTATTATGTAGATACGTTATTAATTTTAAAGTATAGCTACTAAGGTACAAGAACTATTATTAAAGTAAGACAATTAATGTTGGAAATGTAAATTATGCGTTTTCTATCAAACATCATCTTTTTCCACATTGTGACGCAGATATTTCTTTTTTTTAGTTCGTTTTTTCTTATAAACATATGCTAGTCTAAATAAAAAGAACCCAGGATTTGATGGTTAATTCCACCGTAAACACTATTATAATTTTTTTCTTCTCCATACATTTAAATCAAATAATTTTATAATATTATTTTGATTTAAATATATTTTTTTCCTAAGTATAACAACCGTGTGATTTTAATATCTCTAATTTTAATTATATCATTTTTTTCTATTTATTTCTTATCTATTTTTCTTAAATCAAACAAATTAATTTCTATCTTATTTTTCACTTATTTTTACTTTTTTTATTTTAAATTATTTTTTAGTTTTTTATCCTATTTTTGTTTTTACTTATTTTCCACCTCACAACTAAACACAAGTGGAAATGAAGTGTTATAGAATGTTCTTAATTAATAAACTGATAAATCAGTAAATATCTTTGATATTTAAAAGATGTTAAAGACATTTATTTAATCCAAAAAATGGTTAAAAAGAAGGACCCACGTGTGAAGAGACGTAAGGAGGTGTTGGAGCACGTGTCCTGCAGAGGCATGTTGGTTCATGTGATTGTGAGTTGGGGCAGGTTTTTCTTCCACGCTTTCTTCATTTCCGCACCACGTGAACACCAATCGCACTTGTCCCCCTCTTACTCTCACCTCTCTAGTCTCTTCAATTCCTTAACTCAATCATATAAAAGAAAATTTTTAAAAAAAAAAAAGCAAAATCTTCGATTTACCTAACCAAGACAACAATTATTGACGGACACTGTTAATAACCGTGAGCGAAAACACGCGTGGTAAAGCAAACTCCGTTTTCCTCCCACGCGCGACTCGTCTTCTCAGGACACGAGGAAGAAAAGAACGAAGTTGTGTGTGTGTGTGCGTGTTTTTTTTTTCTTTTCTTTTATTTTTTGTAACGGAAGGGTAGAAGAAAAGAAAAAGTTGGAGAAAGCGACGTTGTTGGCTGGGGGGAAGACCCTCGTGGCGATCGCATGGGTGGAGATTTGTGTGTCGCGTAGGATAAGGGATAGTGGGGTCCCACTCAGGGACATGCCAAATAAAATGAAAAGGTTATCTGTTTGGTTCCAATCATGACCATTGGCTGTGCTGATTTTGATGGATCATGCTCATCATTTGACCTCAGCCGTTGATGTAGGGAACTCATTCACCCCTGGGGCAAATCTTCAGGTGCGACCTGGCCCACAAGTTAAATGCTCAAGATTTCTTGCGATTTGCCACCAGACACCCTATGGTACCTAAAGCTAGCTGCATTTATTTTGGGTTTTACATGTTCCACTCAAACCATAGTACAGTACTACTACTAGCTACATTTTTTCCTTCAATTATGGACTATACAAAATTAAATACAAGGTTTTTGTATTTGGTTTCTTAACCTTAAACTTCCCTATTATAATCATGTGTACTTTCAGGAAGATCGAGAGATTCCTTAATAATAGTATTAATTTTATGTAAATAAAAACTTAAACTTATATATTTTTAATTGAACAATAACTAGTCTTATCAGCCTCGTAACGAAACTTTAGAATAGGAAAACCGAGTCTCGTCAGCTAAAAAAACGTGACATGAACAATGATGTGATGTATATAGTTATCGTCTTATCAGAATGCCTTTCACAAGTCATCTTCGTTTGGCTGATGGTTCATGAGTGTGAAATTAACAAACGCCTTCGAAGACGACATCGTTTTCAATTTGCCCGTTCCTAGTTGTGTTCCACTACCGGATCACAGTAAATAGCATCCTAATGCGTTGATAATTGTATATTATTGAGCGGTCAATGGAATTGGTAGGTGCAAACATGGCGTGAAAGTTATCCAAAAAAAGAAGTGAGAAAGTAAAGTTATAAAGTGGTGTTTATTTACCAAATGGTCAAAGGTAAGAAGAAGTGAGGGAAGAGAGAGAAAGCAGGGTTGTATTATTTGGGGGGCAAATGTCATGATTGAGATAACTGGCTTTGCTGACATAAAGTCATCATTGAACTTACACACCCATTCTCTTTCCTTTCTATATAATCTCCACTCACACGGCCCCCCCTAGCACTCCATAACTCACCCTGTGAGAACCTCACTCTCCTAAAAATCCTTCCTACCCAATACCCTAAAAAACTCATAACTTCTTCAAAGGCTAATTTTTATAAAGACTAGAGATGATGGTTCAAAAGGAAGATTTGGGTTTGAGTCTAAGCCTCAACTTTCCCCTCAATACCCCAAATCCTCAACATCTCACTCTCATGTCCTCCTCTACTCACTCCTCTTCTCCTTCTGCTTGCAATCCTCACAAACCCTCTTGGAATGAAGCTTTCGCTTCTTCGGGTATGTACTCAATTTTTTCCCCCCCAAAAAGTTGCGTGCTTTTGTTCCAGATCTGTTCAAGTTTCTCTTTTTATTACCTATTCCTCTTTCATTTTCTCCTTCACTCTGATCCAGCCTTCTGGGTCTTCTTTTTCATTTTTCACAAAACAGTTTTTACCAGATTCAGAACAACAATTTATTTGACTTACCATGTCTTTTTAAACATTCAGATCGAAACTCGGAAACATGCAGAGGCGAAACGCGGTCGTTCCTGCGCGGAATCGACGTGAATCGGTTACCTTCCAGCGTAGAGTGCGAGGAGGAAGCAGGAGTTTCGTCTCCAAACAGCACCGTTTCGAGCGTGAGCGGAAAACGAAGCGAGAGGGAACCCAACGGCGAAGAACACGCATGTTCCCGAGGAATCAGCGACGAAGAAGACGCTGAAACCTCAAGGAAAAAACTCAGACTCTCCAAAGACCAATCGGCTATTCTCGAAGAAAGCTTCAAAGAACACAACACCCTCAACCCCGTAAGTTAACGAATAACAACCTTAATACCATGTTCTTATGTTAGTACTAAAATAAAATTACTAATGTGATTTGATTTAATTTAATGATTTGGCAGAAGCAAAAGTTGGCACTGGCAAAGCAACTAGGCCTTCGACCAAGGCAAGTGGAGGTGTGGTTCCAAAACAGAAGGGCAAGGTTAGTTACTTACGACATGAAATAATAATAATAATCATAATTAGGTTTATGATAAAGTTGACTTATATGGTGATTTTGATTAATTTCAGGACGAAGCTGAAGCAAACAGAGGTGGACTGCGAGGTGTTGAAAAGGTGCTGCGAGAATCTGACGGAGGAAAATAGAAGGTTGCAGAAGGAGGTTCAGGAGCTAAGAGCACTCAAACTTTCCCCTCAGTTCTACATGCAAATGACTCCACCCACCACCCTCACTATGTGCCCTTCTTGCGAGCGTGTAGCGGTTCCCTCCTCCGCCGTCGATGCTGCCACGCGTCATCATCCCATGGCCCAGGCGCCTCGGCCCATGCCCATCGGCCCGTGGGCTTCCGCGGCCCCCGTCCCGCACCGGCCGTTTGATGCTTTCCACCACTGATGTTGGGGGCCTTTTGGTCATTGTGAATTGTTATTATGGGTGTTGTTGTACGGCGTATTGTAACAGCGTGCGAGCTGTGGTCTAGGATATGGTCTTTAGAAGAAGGGATTCGGTGGGTCTCCGATGTTTTGTACCACTTTGACCCATTATCTTCTGTTTTCTTGTGTATGACCTATATATTAGTTAGGAGAGTTAATTTCAGTTATTTATTAGTACCAATACTTAACAGTTTTTCCCATGTCAAGAGACTTTATGTAAAGTGCATTTATCTAATTAAATTATATAGGTTTCATTCCCATACCCTATTTCACTTGATTTGGATCATATCACACCCATTGAAACAAATATTTTCGTATCTCATTTCCTATTCTCTTTTTTCTGGGGTCCCCTAGTGGGAAACTGTTGAACACAGCGCTCAACTGATGGAGCCATTCTAAATCTTAACATTCAATTATATTTTAGTTTCTTGTAGGTTCTTTGATGTGAACTCAAATTTTTATTTGAGTTTAATTGGAATGGATTTGTCAGTATCAATTATTCAGAAATATGGCTTATTAGTTAATTACTAAAATTAAACGAATTTATTATATATAATAGTTGATTAGATGATAATATAAAAAAATTATAATTGTTTACTAAATAGTTTATGTACAGGTGTCATTTAAATACAATTTGTATGTATTATAGAGTAATTTGTTTTACAACGATAGTATATATAGAGATTAAACTATATTATTATTATTATTATTATTTGTTGTTGATTGAGTTTAATTTTTATGCACAACAATCAGAAAACTATCATTAGCGTAATTTTATGATAATTATCATAAAAATTAACAAATTTTTGAAACTCAACATATTTATAGCATGTTAAGGAAAACTTATAATCCTATTTTTTAGCTGTTTTTAAAAGAAAAAAATTTGCTTGTAATTTGTAAGATAAGATGTATGTTTAAGACAATAGCTTAAATTTACAAGCAAACTTTTTTTTATTTTAAAAAATAAGTTTTATTTATAAAAATAATTATTATTTCTCAACTGTTTTTTTCGCCTTTCAAGTTGATTTACTATTTAGTCATGAAAATGTAGTTTTTTCATAAATGTTGAAATGATCTTTGTTTGCTTTTAAAGATTTGGGGTAGTTATTTTTTAAGTTTAGGGTTAGAATAAGTCGTCAAAATTATAACTTGTTTGTTGCCAGAAAATAAAATCTGCGTTTTGGGGTGGGTGGTCCCCGGGATGAAGATGGGTTTCCCATGGAAAATTCAATTCGTTTCTTATTTTACGGGTCAATGTAGAGTACCACTAATGGGTTCAATTGTCTACACAACAATCGTTAATTTAAAGAAATTTGGGTCATTATCGGCCCAAATAACAATTGTTTTGAATAACAGGTTTTCTGTTTCCAAGGCTCATGTTCCATTGATTGACTCTACAAGATTTGGTGTTCACAAAATAAAAACTTAAAAAATCCAAGATTGACCAAAATAAGAAGTTGCCACCTCAATAGTATTTATAATTCGAAAAATGTGTTGAGTGAAATTTATTACATAACTTTTAGAATGCAATTAATTAAGTGATTTTTTCATTCAATATTTTGGACTACATTGGATAATATACGGCATAATATATTGTTTTTATTTTTATTTTTTTGTATTGAATTACATCGGCTTGCTGAATTTCAAAAATCAATTCAAACCAAATTGGTTTATTTTGGATTTGAATTATTGAGTTTTCCAACTTGATTAAAGTTTACATGATAGTTTAGTTCAAGGGTTGAACAAATTCCAACCCAAGACATGATGACTTGTGAACTTTTTAGTATCTGACCTCCTTAACAAGACTTTTCAATTTCATGGGTCTCTCTCACACATTTTTTCATGATCATGATCTCAGACTTTCAATCAAACACTACACTTTCAAAGTCACAATTTATGCTATGTCACCTCGACCCTATTTAATAACCATTTGTTTATCTATTCATTCATTGTGGTTTCCATCCACACACAAGTCGCATAATATGTCATCCACTATAGTGCTACGTCATTCGTTATCTATCCAGTCAAAGCTATGTCATTCACTGTTATTTACACATGGAAATCAAATGTTTGGCCAAACAAGAGACTTGGCTGCAACAAAATTGGAGCATCAAATATTACTGCAAGAGTCACTAGCTAGATCAGCGTCCTAAAATAACATTTTCTTCATACACTTCTTATGTATTTTCTAGGCGGCATTACTACTGAACCCTCAATAAAAGAGGGATTTTGCTACGGTAACTAATGTGTATGTACACATTATTATTTAAATTCCATGTCAACTTTTTAAGTTTTTATTACTGAAATTTCACCTTTTTTTCTTCTGGTATCTCTCTCACGCTCACTTCACTTCCCAGAGTTCAAGTTTTTGTTTTCCAGGTCTCCCTCTATCTTTTATGAGTTTGATGAGCTATTTGTTTTTTTTTTTGCTTAATTGCACTTTTGGTCCTCCTAATTTAGTGCAGGAGTAATTTTGGTCCATAAATTTAAATAATGGGCAATTTTAGTCCCACAAACAATTTACCATCCAAAATTTAACAGACGTTAATAATGTGAATTTTATGCTAAATAAACATTAATTAAATAATATATAATTAATGTTTATTTAGCATAAAATCCATATCATTAACGTCTGTTAAATTTTGGATGATAAATTGTTTGTGAGACTAAAATTGTCCATTATTTGAATTTATGGACTAAAATTAAGCAATTCAAATTATGAGGACCAAAATTAATCCTACACTAAATTAGGAGGACCAAAAGTGTAATTAAGCCTTTTTTTTATAATTTTTTTTAAATTTTTTTTGTAATATTTGTGGACTGTGGTTGATATTGCCGTGAATGATTATGGGTGATTATTTTTAGTTTCAAATTGTTTGGATTTTGTTTATTTCATCGTATCCGCACCTAGAACCTTTCTGTTTCTTGTAATCGGTGAACGGTGGTTTATCCGATTTGTGCTGTTGAGATGTCGAGAGTTGTATTGAATGTGGATTAACCACAAATCTCTACGGAAACAGTTGCAAGCACATGACTATTTGCTTGAGCTGCGACAAAAAATGGTGGAGAACCGTGATTTTGCAGTGTGGAACCACCCTCACTCCGTTTTGTGCAGATTTTGTTTTTTTAATTTTTTTTTAAAAGATGATATGATATGACATTTAAATGGTGATGTGTACATATATATCAACTACAGTACCAAAATCCCTCAATAATTGAGGGTACCGTAAAAATTCTCTACTTTTTATTATTAATCAAAATTTGTTGAAAGGTGAAAAAAAAATTACAAGTGAGACTCTCAAATAAAAATGAAACCTACAAAACTTGTTATGATTTTTGTCTCCTACAAAGAACTATATCTAGAAAATCCTAACTACGGTTTAAAGAGTGTAATCTGCCTCATTTTAATTGTATATGAGGTTTATATATTTTGTTTGGGTGTATTGAAATCTCGAATACCCACTATTTTTGTATGCTTTTAAATAAATTTTAACCAATTAGAGAAAATGTATTTAAAATAATACGTTAGAGGATATGTTACTAACATTTCTCATATGATTATAATGTTATATTCATTTATGCTGCATTTGAATCCCAAGACTCCAGAGTATTACCCCGATTGATAGTTAATTTTATAAGAGGTTTATATAATTTGTTTGGGTGTATTGAAATCTCGAATTATTTAAAGATATTTTTTAAGAATCATCCCAACATAATTACATTAACCCTAATTATCATAAATATATATGATTAAAGAAGTATTAACAACATATTATCTAACACATTTATTTTCATTGGTTAAAATTCCTTAAAAATCATAAATCATGAGATAATCATTAAATAGAATGTGAGAACCACCATTTTTTTTTTAATGTTTTTAAATAAATTAATTTTAAGTAATTAAAAATGTGTTTAAAATAATGCATTAGAGAATATGTTACTAATATTTCTGATATGATTATAATGTTATATTCCTTTGTACTGCATTTATGGTTCTCAAGATTTTAGAGTATTACCCCGAATGGTCGTTACATTCTATTATTCATTTTGTACATTAATTAGGCAATCTTTATGTATTCTAATAATCATTCTAGTATTTCTCATATGATTATAATGTTATATGTTTGTTTATGTTGCATTTATGGTTCTCAAGATTCCAGAGAATTAACCCCGAAAATGCATCGTTTTAGCAAACCATCGATAACTCTATCAGCTGACTTAGACTAATGCTTCAAGTAGTATCTTTTCAGTATATTTATGAAAAGGTATAATTTATATCATGTTCTTATTAATAAGACTTAATTTAGAACAATTTTTTTATTCATTTATATAAGATATAATTCATAATATTTGATGTGTTAATTATTTTTATATTAAAATATCTTTAATTAAACTTTATTCTTTTAATTTGATAAAATATTTTAATTATAAACTTTTTAAAAGACATGTATTCTAATTAGTTAGGAGAGTAAACAATATTAATTATGAGAGAAAATTCTATCTAATTAAAAGAGAAATAAGTGTTAATTAAGAGGAAAAAATAGTATAAAAATAATTTTTAAAAATATAAAAATAAAATAAATTTATCAAAATTAGATATGGAGAGAACGTATTGATATGGAGAGAACGTATAGAGTAAAAATGTAAAAAGAATTCATTTTGACCGTTTAGTTAAATCCAAGTCCAAGTTTTTATATTAATTTGGATGTTTATATATATATATATGCGCGCGCACACGCGCGGGTGTGGAGGCAGTAATAAAATTTTATCAACAGTGAAGTGCGCTTAATGTGTTAATATTCCTTTTCTGACTCCGGAAGTTGCAAATGATGACCAAGGATTCTTAGCTTCGTACAAATGACAAATGGCCAAACCCGTGTTGAAATCTCAATTTCCCGTTTAAAACAATTGCAGAAAGTTGAAAAGAAATTTAAAATTCCAACAAATTGAAGTTTTAGCTAAGCACATGTAAAATCGGTATATCTATCTATAGCATCATATTTATGGGGGGGAAGATGACAGAAATCCAATTACAACCTTAAGCTGTGGAAAGAAACATCCATAACAATTTAATTACATCCCGTTTAACTAATATAGTATAACAGTTCTTCAACATTATTTATTACCTTGAAGAGTTTCTTGCACTCCTTGTACTCCTCTTAATAGACTCAATTCTCTGAAGTCTTATTTGCTCTCTAAACTTGGCGATGAATTCATCAGCCTTCTTATCCACATCTGGTCCTTCATCACTAAGAGTTCCGCAAGAAGCCTCATCTTTTTTTGAACTTTTCACACCATTAAGAGCTGGACCTTTCTCGTGGTCCTCGTTCTGAATAATCTTTCTTCCTCCTCCAACATCATCATCATCATCCTCAGTTTCTGTATCGTCATCATCAAGTTCCTCCACAAGTACCTTGTCAAGAAAACTTTCTTTCTCAGCTGGCTCTGACACAAGAGGCACGCTTGCATGCCCCATGAACTTGTCACTTCTAAACGACGTGCGTTGCATGAATGGTTTTTCTTCATGAAATTTTTTATTTTTTCCTACTGACATAGTGAAGGTTCGCTTCGGCTCCTTATCAAAGGAAGGTGCTTCACCATACCTTGGCCTCGTGGAAATTGATTTGTGAAACATCATTGGTGGGGGTGGTGGAGGTGGTGGTGGACAACACTTGTGAAACCCCTTCTTCCTCACTAAATGATCCTCTGCGTTCTTTGCAAGTGATTCTGATGAAAAAGGAGCAAGGTTTGGTGATGAAGTCAAAGAACTTGTTTTAGAAGAAGCATGTGATGAAGTTTGAGACTTCACAGGGCGAGATTCCTCCTTTGAAGGAAGCATCATGTTAGATGCATCATCAACTTCTTGTTTTGGTTCCATTCTTCCTGATCGAGATCGCCATGGAATGGGAGAAGGAAGCACCACCACGTTCTCTTTCTTTTTATCTTCAACTTTTGATTTCCTATTCAAACTGCTTGAAAATCTCTTAGAGGTTGTGGACCTGCTCAGAGATTGAACATCAACAACATTATCATCATCCTCGTCAGATACACGAGACTTCAAGCTTCGAATAGGTAAAAGCAAAGGTTTCTCGGGGCTGTGGTGATCAAAATCAGAGTGGTCTAAGCGTGGTGCTACCACAAGCATGGGTTGGTTCCTATGGTGTTGGTTGTTCCACGTTTGGACTTTTGTTTCATCGGACTCAACTGGGCTTTCACTTTCAACGTCATCCTCGAAAAACGAAGAGACTTGAAGGAACCTTGAGACAAGAGATTGTGCAGTGTCGAACTTGGAGTTGTTGTTGTTGTTGTTATCTTTGTCTGTGTCGTGGTTTCGACGGCTGAAGAGGCCATAGGAGACAGCGATGCCGACAAAGAGAAGGTGGAGGAGTTCCCAGTTTCTGGTGAGGAGGGAGTGGTTGATGAATTGGGGAGCTTGTGAGGGGAAG